AGTTTCTTAAAATGTTACTCATATTTTAGTCAAATATTTTATTTTTGAAATCACAAGAATCAAATATGATAAGATTAAAAAGTTTTAAATTAAAAAAATACTAAATTTTACGCAAAATTTTCTTTTTTTCTTCTTAATGGCTTGCTCTTCTTCCTCAGGCATTCTGCAAGTATATTAAAAAAGCATCCAACTTTTCAAAACATCTTGGTAATTCTGACATTTATTTTAAATATAGTTATCGCCTTTGACTGCCTTTCAGCTAAAGACAGCTTTTCATTTTCTAGGCATTTTAACTATAAATAAATTTTAAAGCAAAGTCCAAAGGATAAATATCTTAATTAAAAGATTTTTTGCTAAATGACAAAATAATAAAACACTCCAGCAGTGTTTATTCTGTACCACCAACAGAACCGATTATTATATCAGCTGCAAACAATCTAAATCATATTAAAGATTGTGTTTTTTATACATTATTAGAATTAAGTACTTAAAATATTCATTCTAAGAGAATTAATGTAAAAATTTATATATAATATATTTTTTTCTTAACCTTTTCACATCGGCGCACCTTTGTTTAAGACACTTGTGTGGGGCAGAAGGGAATCGAAGGCATTTACCATACAAGACGGAGGTTTTGCATTGCTAAGCCTAATTTTATATTTAAAAAAAAAAAGTTTCACTTCTAGCATCGTTATTTTTAGTATCATTTTAGATTATTACTTCGGCTCTTATATGTGTTAAAATTAGCACTTAATAAGGTTTTCTTTCTTTATTTTACATGAAAATATACTTAAAAATTTCCTTATCTTGTAAAATAATTTTTGGAAGCTCTATTCAAATTATTCCAAAGTTTTAATTGATAAAATTAATCAATAAAGTTTAAAATTAATAAAACAACATAATAAAGACTATTTATAGTAAGAAGTAACAAAATTTAAAATGAAGACTGATGTGGTAAATCTCGAAGCACAGAGAAGTATCACTTTCAAACTCTCAGAAAAAGTATCACATTCGAACTCTTAGAAAAAGTATCACTTTCTAACTCTTTAGAAAATGAATAATCACTAATCATCTGCATTAGTAAATGGTTCATTAACCATATGAGGGTATTTTTCCTCTGATAAATAGCGCCTTCCCGCCATAATAGACTAGAGGTGAGGCTTCCCGAAATAAAGAGAAGAAACGGAAATATATCTAAAAGCAATGCAAAACATAACAGAAGTCCACATATTAACCCTAAAAGACTGTACCTAGTAGAGGGGAAAATAGAATAAAAAAAAGAAATTGGATATAAATCAGACACGCAAATGTTTATATTAGCACCCCGTGATTTAAAGAGCCCACCTCTGTTTACGCTTTCCCTCCCCTCACCCTCGCAACAGTTCATGAGTAAAATACCAAAGTCCGATAGAATTTATCAAACTCAAGGTCAGGAACCTAAAACTGCATTCATTTCAAAAGTAATGGATATAGGATGCCATCTAATGGACTTCAGAAAAACGTTCCTGCTTAAAATGCGTATACACATCACCCGTCTTCTGAATGCAATCTCTAGTGGTGCGTGAATGGGACGCCCGGCTATAAGAGATGTTCTTAGGGAATGCATATATCGAATGCCCGTTCTGAAAGGGATAAAGCTGGGACATGACCCAAACTGTCAACATCCTGTTTGCTTAAAATCACGGTGAAAATAAACATTAAACGAACCTTCTCAGTATAAGACAATTCAATTTAAATGCAGTCAATGCAAAGTAGCAGACGATACGGCAAAGGTAAAAACTTACTTTTACAAATATTTAAAAAAAGGGAAAAATTTTTTAAAAAATTAAACATTTGAATAATATCATCTATACTTTAACAAAAAATAGCCTTTCATATACAGTACAAAGTCCGTAATCCAGACGTCCATTATCGGAATGATCCATAATCTGGATCTCAAAGCCACAAACGTTTTTTTTTTTTTTTTTTTTTTTTTCTGTATGCTTTAGGCATGGGCGTAATGCTTTTATGCATGCGCATTTAGTGTATAACGGATGGTATAAGCTAGGCTAAAATTATCTTTACTGATTCCAAGGCATTTCAGTTAATGTTGCAGATTGCACTGTTCCTTAATCTTCTAATTAAATCCAGCTTATTATTTTTTGCAGACGGTTAGAGCAATTTTATAAAAATTAAACTTGAACTTTCGATTATGTGAGAAAGAGTTTCCAATTCTGGAGCCGCCAAAGGATCTACAAAGTGAAAGCATGTTTCAAAGCCCATCAAACAAAAAGCGGAATTGCTGCAAAAAAAATGGATAAAGGCATATCCGTCTCAAAATTATGCGAGGAGTATGACATTGGTTAGTCAACTTTATGTGACATAAGCAAAAAGAAAAAGGAACTTTTTGAATTTTTTGTGGATTCTGACACCCCACTTGCAATGAATAACAGAAAAACAGTTCGTTATGCTAGGATCGTAAAAGTGACGATCATGACAAAGTGATGATTGAATGGGTCAGACAGCATCGCAGCGAGGGCGTGTCATTGACGGGTCCCATGTTAATGGCTCAAGTTAAAATATTTCATGAAGAAATGAACTTAAACACTGAGTGCATATATTTGACAGGTTAAACAAATTAAAAAATCGCCATGGTATAAGACAATTAAAAATTTCAGGTGAAAAAGGCTTCAGCTGATACTGAAGCTGCTGAATAATTTACAGATGAATTCATTGAACTCATTACTAGTGAACAATTATCTCCAGAACAAATTTACAACTCTGATGAAACTGGTCTTTTCTGGCAATATGTACCACGAAATACCTTGGCAACCTCTACAGAAAAAGCTGCAACTGGTGTCAAAGGTTCCAAAACAAGACTAACAATTTTAGCATGTGCAAATGCTGCAGGAACGCTTAAGTGCAAACTTTTTGTAATCAGAAAACATGCATGAACTCGAGCTTTTAAAGGAATAACGATTTTTCCTGTTATATATCGTGCAAATAAAAGAGCATGGATGACGCAAGCATTGATGAATGATTGGTTTGAAAATCATTTTATACCCGAGGCTAGGCAACTTAAATTTGGTTGGTTTACCTGATAACTCAAAAATAGACCTGATTGTTGACAACTGTTCGGCACATACTTCACTTAAAGTTTTAGTGAAAGATGATGTATCCGTATTATTCTTCTCTCCAAATTGTACGTCTATCATTCAGCCTATGGATATAAGAATAGTGCAAGCACTGAAATGCAAATATAAAGTAGCATTTTTGAAATCTATGTTAACTTTCAAGACTTTTTCAAGACTATTCAAGACTTTTTGAAATTTTTTAGCACAAAATCTGCTGTGTGGAGCATCTATTTCGGACATCGCAAACTAAAGGTGAAATTTTCCAGTTATTCGATTTTGTAAAGAAATGTGGAGAAGCAGTAATAAATGATGATGATATAACAGAAGCTTTTCATTGCGACGACAATGCCCCAATCATCAATCAATTAACGGACGGCGAAATCTGTAGTATGGTTCTAGATCCAGAAAATACTCCTTCTGATAGTAAAGAAAGTGACAGAGAGGTAATTGAAAACGAAAAAATTTCGATTGACAAGTTAGGCGGTATTCTCGACACAGCAATTACAGGACTTGAACAGTGGAACTTTGTAACTGAACAAGAAATTATGTCTGTTTATAGAATTAAAGAGAAAGTATTAGCACTTAAACAACTTACATTGAAAGAAATGTTTAATAACGTAAACAAATAAATATTAAGCTTTTTTTTGTAAATTTTGATACCCTTTAGATCATAATTGCTCTTTATTTCATAAATTACGGTTTCATACTTTTAATTGTATAATTTCGGCATGCCATCTTACCAGATTTAAATTGATGATCTATAATCAGGAAAAACCCCTAATCCGAAATCTTCGAAGTCCCAATGAGTCCGGATTACAGACTTTGTACTGTAGTATTAATAAATACTTATTATGCATCATTGAGGGAAAAAATTTTATATAACTAATTCTCCGTAAAAATTTATTTTAAATTTAAGGTAAAAATAGCTGTGGCAATTCATTGTAACAAAAAATCCATAAACTACATTTGGCGTTATTAATGCCAAAAAAAAAAAAAAGATGCCAAATTTCAAAACATGAAAATATGTAAATTTGTGTATATCTTAGGAAATTTTGATTAAAAAATTTTGATTTTTTGTAGTTATGCTTAGAACTAACTGTACCTACTTTAAGATGGCGGAAAAATTTTATGGGTTATAATTGAAAATTTTTTTCAAAAAATTTATAAATTATTATACAAATTTTAAATATAAATCATAAAAAATGGGTGAATTTTACTTGGAATGAACCTAAATTTTGAAATGAGAAAGGAAAAATCAAAAAAGTTTAATAAAAAAAGAGATATTAATAAATATATATCAAATCCAATTAACATTGAGGAGGATAAACTCTGAGAGCTAATTTTTTAAAAACTAGTCATACGATTTTTACAAAACTTGGCAGTCTGGCATACTTTGAGTTGTAGAATCGAGATATAGAAAAAAAAATTGGTATGTTATTTCAGAAAAAGTCCGATTTTGTGTCAAAATATCTATGTTAGAATAGTGCTATATATAAATCTAATATATATCCTAAGTTGTGCTTTTGGGACATAAAAAACGCAATTTGAATTTTGTAAATTGGCCCAGTAGAACGGAAGATATAGAACTGTCACCCTCCCCTTTTTTTTGCCGCACTGTACCTTTTTAGCTTTTTACAGCAACATATTTAAAATAAGTGAGTGTCTTCTTAATCAGAAGCCAGCTAGTTCTGCAAATTAAGAAGTCAGGTCTTCAGAATTAAAAGTACATGAAACTTACCTTTCATCTTATACATTCATTTTTATTGTATCAATTTAACTTTTGTTGAACCTGACCAAGCAGGTAGATTCAATACAGTTTTGTTTACAGCCATTATAGGTTACTAGTAATACTCAACACTTCCTAATAAAATAAGTAAAACATTTTACCCGATTCATCAGCTTTTGTGCATAATGCCACATCCTTTTAGCAGATTTATAATATACAGTATCTGGCCTGTTGTATGTCATTGCATTGTCACACATTAATTTTACATCAGCCTGAAAAAATTTTCAAAAAATTATTATTTTATTATAGACAGGTAAATGGCATAGAAACAAGGTCACTTCTGAATTTGCAAATTATTTATACTCTATACAAAAGTAATATTGGTACCTTTCAATTGACAGGGCACCACTATCACCAGTAAATGTTGACATTAAATATAATTAGCATTAGGTATGGGTAATCTTACCACTTCTAATGGTATCCAATTAAGAGTGGTAGCCTTAATGAAACATACAGCTTCATTAAAAGAATGGCTAGTTACAAAGAAATTCACAAAAAACATATGTAGTAATTCTAATCAACAGCTATACAGTGACTCACTCCTACTTGCAACTGGCAGAACTTTACCAATTTGAGTTTTTGACATAAAAAGTAAATAAATAGAATTACTGACTGAAAACTACTGTGCAAACCTTTAAATCAATATCCGCCATGCAAACCTTTCTTTTCGTGACAAAATTTATCATTGCAGTCTCAGTCTGGGGATTCCAACAGAGATAAAATACAATATATCATTTTGTAGTTTTCTAAAAAAACACTGATGATACATTTGATTTATAAGAATTTAATAGTGAAGCTTTCTCATTTAGCAACTGCTAAATCATGTAATCTATATTGATACTCCTTTAAATGTGAAATAACAGACCATATATTACTAAGTTATTTATTAGGCAGATAATGACCTACTATTAGTCTTCTAATAAATAAATATTAAATGTATGTTACTATCTCTCTCTGTGTACACCACACACACACACACACACACACACACATATATATATATATATATATATATATACAGAGAGAGAGACATATATTTTTAATCTGAGAATGTATAAAAATCAAAGGTACTTTCTGATTATCTGCATCTTGAACAAATGTCGTAAGGTGCAAATTTTGGAAAGCATTTGTAATGTTGCTAGCAACTAATTTTTTGGCAAGTTAATACATAAAACGCAAAAGTTGTTTTCAAAATGGTAGTGTACTAAAAATTCCATGCAAGAGCAATCAATCAATAAAATTTAAAAGCATGAAACATTGGTAATAAAACACTAAGAAACCATCTTGCTGCTGTTGCTCTTCCTATATACACAGTGATCTCCTCTCACTTAAAAACAGAAAATTACACAAACTCGGTATTTTGGCATATTGTAGACTGGCAAAAACAGACATGTGCTACATGCATACCTGGATTGCCACATAAATAGTTTTCGGTGACCTTGTGGCTTGCCACATAACTATTCAGTGACATACTGCTTTGCTTTGTAAATATCTTTTTAATTTTTATCGGCAATTGCCAGCCAAACATTAGTAGTTAGGGGAGCCAACTGTGATACTGAAGGGCCCAGGTTTGAATCCACAATAAAATGACCACCACTTCTAGCCTTAGGAGTGGCCAATGCTAGAAAAGCAACTAAATAAATAAAATTTTAAAAAAAATCCTTTTTACAACTTCTCAGGGGGTCAGCAATAATCAGTAAGTACCAGATCAAAGGCAAATGCAAGAAACACTTCCTAAAATTGATCTAACCCCAAAATTTCAGACTTTCATTTATATAAGAAATTGACTCTTAATTGACATTTTTATAAGAAGTATAAAATAGTAGTAATATGTTTCAATATGTAATATGTTTTACTTATAGCCCAAGATATCTTTTGGATTTAAACCTAAGTATCAGCTAATCTAACTGTTATATAATGAACAATCATTCTTTATTTAAACAAAAATTTACTTACTGAACTTTTTTTAACAACTTAGTATCTTTCCCTTTTACCTATCTGTGTCCAAAGATCTGATAAATATTCAAAAAGGAAATCACTTCGAGGATTCAAGGAAAAAGATCATTCTTATCCTGTTGAATGCGTATTATCCGTATATTTAACTAATTTTATACAAAACTTTAATTTTAGAGTTTTGCTTGCAAGGCCTCTTTAGACACTACAATTTCTGAAGTGTTACAGAATAAGTTTGTTTATTTTATGCTTTAAGTGTCAGTTGTTTCTTATAATTCTCGAACATATTAAAATAAAAGAAAATATAAAAGCCTCAGTAAAAGCAAAATGAAGCTTTATTAGAATATAATAAGGGAGTTATTTTTCTTTCAGTTTTATACAATGTGTTTCTGAACAGCAGAAGAATTTATCAACTGATATTCTTCAGTGAATTCTTAAAAGATGAATCATCTCGTTTAAAAGACCAAATTTAGATATGAAACTATTGTACTTAAAATTAATACTAAATCAGAAAATATTAATTTTGGTACAAAATTAAAAAGCACCATTTTAAGTGAAAATGTTTCATGTACTTACTTTAAATTCAGCCACAGATTTGTATTCACGATCATCTATTTTTTTATTAATTGTGCTAAAATCAATTGGCTTGCTTATAATACTGGAATATCCTGGTGCAATTACATCAGTAACAGGCCATGCAAAAAATTCTTGCGGATCTTTCCTGAGCGAAGAAATTAGAATGATTTCTAATATTAGCATCCAATATATATTATTTCAAACAATTACATAAAATAAATTGAAATTTTATGCATTTAAAAAATCGCAAACTTCAGAGTATTTTTTTAGAACTTCAAAATTAGAAACTTCGTTCACATATATTTTAAAGAAAGAGGGTAATTGAGAAAAAATAACAAAACATCTGATAAAAAATTAACGTACACAATTTACATAGACTTAAATAGTAAATATTTGTGCTTAAATGCTTACTGTTCAATATGCATATTTATTTAAAAGCTGTAAATTTAGATAATAAAGAATTAAAAAAAATACAGAATCTCAATTTTCATTTTCTGCTCAAAAATTTTATATCATATCTTTTTATCTTTAAATTATATTTATGTGAAAAGTTTTACACAAACATTCCTCCGAAGCACACATCTTATTTACATTATAACTGACTATCAAATCTCAGATAAATACCCAACACCTATCATTATTAGTTAGCTGTGTCCTTCCCCCCCTCATATATAATGATAACCAACTTATTAGATCTTAGATCAATACAACTAATGGAATATATGGTGTGTATAACATTAGATAATAACAAAAAAAGATGAAGGCAAGAGAAACACAGAGAATTACAGAATATTTAAAATTTACTTCCCACATTATTCATACAGCTTCAGTATTAAAAATTTGCAATTACACATTCTTTGAAATAAGAGCTAAATGGTTTTTAAAATTCCAGAAGCTAACTATGTTTGATTTTGAATCAGAAGTATAGCCAGGATTTCAATTATAATATTATCATACAAGAAAAAATATTCCCATTACATAGGGGATTAATTTTTCAAAAATGTTCATCTTCTGCTAAGTTGATAAAACAGCATGCTAAATAACATAAAATTTTTAAATCAGACTATGAATACATAAAATATGTTTAAAATATATACATTTAATTAAATCATAACATTTTTCCAAGCCACTATGTAATAGTAGAAAATTCTAATTTTTTAAAATTTTTATTTTATTTTAACTCACAGCTGCAATTTTTTTAGAAGATGATATAAAAGAATCTGCAAAGGAGTCTTCTGGGCTTTTCTCTTCAAAGTACATGTCCTAGCATCACGAGTGGGCTTTTCAAGAGGAAGAGGATGTACTTCAGAAGTAGCACGAAGAGGAAGAGAATCTCTTGAATCATAACCTTCCATCAACAAGCGATTAGAATCTTGGTCTTTTCTACGTTTCTCCTACACAAAACACAGCATTATACTAGAAATTCTTGAAAACTACATTTCATTCTATCCAAGGAAAGAGGAGCTATAAAAGTTCATGAAACATTTTTTTAAGGTTTTCACTACCAAATATGAAATAATATATGCAAAAAATATACATGCAGATCAACATACATTCTCATATTTGTTTTTAATAATAGTAATGAAATAAATGAATGATTTAATAATGAAAATTCAAAACTTCACAGCCTCCAGAAAGCCCAGTAAAAATTTAGTGAAAAACAGTGAGGAAAAAATTACTGAGTGCAATTTGGCAATTTTGTTTGCCTTTTTAAAAAGATCACCAAACTATCAATATTTATCATAAATCAGTCAATATTATTAATGTATAAAAAACATACTTTAACATTTAAAAATACAAATTTTAATTATATAATGCATTAAACATTACATGTATTATATTATATGACACATTAATGTTGTTCTCCCCACCTGCATGACTATCTGTTTTTGCTTAATATCAGAGCACACTTCTATGCACAAGCATAGCTTCACACACAACTTCAGCATTGCACACTGGTATCTAATAACGAAGAAAGTATATTTGCCTAACCCTGCCAGAATCACCAAGCACTGTATCACCCAATTAGGTTAACCAAAGTTTTACAAAAGTGTATTTATCTGGCAACCCTCTAATGGTTGTGCCTGCATTATGCAACATAGTTTTAAAATTTGAAACGTTTATGGTTTTTGTTTGTTGTGATTAGTGCGTGGAATTTTTTTGGCTTAAACATAATGTTCCTTTAAAGTTATCTGTCATGACTTAGCAACACCATTTTTTAGTTCATGTTTCGAATATTAAAAAGAAAGATGGAAATAAGCCATATGTTCATATTAAGATGAACTGCCTCCTTTATTTGATTATTTAGGTGGATTGCCTACTTATTCCTTTTTCACATTTTTTTTTTTTTTTTTACTGGAGAACTGAATGAATAAAATTCAAATAGTTTCCCACCAAAATAACATGATCATTTTAAAGGTACGTTTATTAGATTACAAATTATTTTGAAAATGAAATTGTTTGTTAAAAAATGTTCTTAACAGCTAATTTTACCAAGTGCTTTAATGGTTTGAATGACTTACATATTACTAGAAGATGAAGATGATAAAAAATATCAAAATAAGTATGTGATAATAGAAGAATATAATGAAAATTTTTAAAAGCAGAATTAAATGTATAACTGTATTTAAACAAAATTTTTAAAACTGAATACTTCATTCTTTGAAAAATGAAAGTTAAAAATGCCAAAGATTGAACTTTTGAAGATTCGTGGAGAAATCAAAGACTGGCTTGCATTTTCGAGCCAATTAAAAAAAAAATACATGAAGACAAGAAAATATTGAGAAAGAAGATAAATTTCAGCATTTAATACAATGTATGTCTGAAGGTTCTAGAGCTAATGCTATAATTGATAGTTACCCACGAACAAGTGAAAATTATGATAAAGCTATTGCATGTTTAAAATCAAGATTCAGCAGGGATGAATTGCTAATTAATTTCTATGCATGCAAAATTTTAAACCTTGCTGTAAAAAATGTTACTGAAGAAAAATGGAAATTAGAAAGATCAAAATTATATGACACAATAGAATTGTATCTAAGACTACTCAAATTCACTAGTTTAACATCTGATACACATTCAACTATATTTTTTCTTCTCAAAGCATCATGTATTTCAAAGGACTTTTTAAATGTGGTTAAAAAACCCTGTCGTTAATAACAAACTGGACTCTCCTGAAGAAAATGCTTATAAGGAGAAGTTAATTTATTATTGTTCCTGAAAGCTCAAGTTGAATAAGAAGAATGTATTTGTTTAGCAAAGTTGCGATTTATTTAGTAAGGTACACAAATTTCAGGAACAAAACAAAATATTCTTTTCCTGTTAATCCACTGATAGCAGCAGATTTGTTTATGCAACAGAGAATAAAAGAAAAAAAAATATTGTATATTTTGTGATGGAAGTGCACGAAAGTAAAGGCTGCTTTCCTGTATAAAAACTCAATTTTCAAGAAAAAGGCCTGTTTTGTCTGCCTGGAAACTAGACATCATTCTAAATTTTGGAAATCTAATATCATGTGTTCTTTACAACAAAAAACAATCAAACTTGATGTGTCCAGAACTTTCTAGGAATAAATAAGACAAAAGGTGACATACTTGAACCTGAGAAGTATTGTTTGATATTAGTTCACCTAACTTATGTACTCCTTATGAAATATTGCTTCGAATGCTACATGTGAAACTAAAGACTGGAGGGAAGTAGCTACGAGTAATGCATACTCATCGACATTGGCTGGCAACACTGTTAAAGAAACAGATCAGAAACTAGGTTTAAAACCTGCTGAAAAAGAAATCTTCATTCTCTGTTTAGGGGAATTGCAACTCAGAAAAAAAAGAGCATCACGTTTATGACATCAACTTGATATCTTTGAAAGATGACTTTTCTGGATCCCAGAATATACACTATGTTGTAGAGGTGAGTGCTATGGCCCAAAAGAAAAGTCAAACCCCACAGGAAGGGGCTGATCAGGTTTTGAGGAAAGCGAAATTTCGGGAAGATGGGGTAAGTGAGTCCCCCACTCCAATCCTTAACATTTACAATGGGAATGGAGAATTTTAGAACTGAAGAACATTTAATGACTCCCAGAAAATACGTGAAACATTAAAAGTGATTTACGACTCTATTAGCTCAAGAAATGGAAATCAATCATCAAAACATGGCGTATTGAGAACGATCTTTTGCTTCGAGTTCAAAGAGATTGTTATGAGAATGAGAAAAAAATGCTAGTATTGCCGATAGAATTTCGGAAAAAAATCCAAGCATTATGCCACGAATGAACTTTGGCTCATTTGGGGGTTACAAAATCGAAGGATAGGCTTTTACGGTATTTTTTTTTTTTTTTTTGGCCTGGTTGTTATAAGGAAATTGAAGATTATGTTTGTTCCTGTAACAAATGTCAATGAGCTGGGAGACCAAATGAAAGGAAGAAAGCGCCTATGAAACTAGTACCTGTGATTCAAGAAATTTTTTCTAAATTAAACATTGATGCAGTAGGCCCCCTGCTGGTCAATTCAATGGGAAAACGTTACATAACAGCCATATGTTTGTCATCTAAATACCTTGATGCTATTCAAGTGAGTAATGCACTCGCATTACTCAGTTTCTGTGACGGATGCCCTGATTAATATTTTTAGTCGGCTGGGTTTTTCGAATGAAATCCAATCTCGGAACGTATTTCGCAAGTGCACTTACTCTGGAATTTTTTGACAGGTTTGGTTTTAAGATTAATCATAGTTTGGGTAGCCACCCCCAATCAAATCTGATTAAACGTTTCCATAGAATGATCAAACGGCTCTTATGAGCTCTATGTCTGGAGGCTGGGACAGATTGGAAAAAACAAGCAACTTAAAAAACTTTGGCTTTAATTTGTACTTATCTTGTATTCTTTTGTGAATTTTATGTATTTTAATTGTCATTGGCCTTGATGTGATATCATGGTACTTCTATGTGAATTTTTTTTTTTTTTAATATATATATGTGTATGTAACTAGCTCTTTATCCCAACCAAATACACTTAAACATTTTAATGAACAAAATGTTTCTTTGAAGGAGGAAGGAGCTGTAATGTCTCCTTTCTCTTAAGAATACTTGGTCAGCCACCCTCAAAGAAGAGACAGAGAACCCCCTTCTTGCCTCAGCCAGAAGAGAGGAGCAGACTTTCCCCCTTGTCACAGGTGGGAGTAAGAAGAGATTGAAATGTGGAAGAGAAATGAGCGGAAGCTGGTTTGCACGCTCTACTGTAGTGAAAGTTTTTCTCAAATGTAATCTGTACATAGTTGTATATATAAGTAAATATTTAGCCTAGAGTAGGTCTTGTTTGTTTGACAAAGTTACGACTATGTTACACTGTTTTGTCTTCCTTTTCTTCAAGACTTAGTTGTTTCAAGCCATAAAGTCTCAATATCCGACCAATATGTTGGCGGGCAGAAATCTGTGTAGAATTTGACAGAACATAGCTTTCAAATTGCATATCATAAGATAGTCAGTCACTGGTAAATGAAGCTGTCCAAAAGAAAGTATAGTGCCAATCACTGGCGGATAACATGCTATTTAAAGTGTTAAACATGATCTCAACATATCGATCTAACACATTTTATCACATTCTTAGCTTATTTGTATGTGTTGGTTAATTTTTTTTTATTCCTTTACCTGTATAGCCTGCACAATTATAGCCATATATTGACAAAATAGTGAATTACATTGAATTAAGAATTTGATAAAGGAAAACGAACTCATTTCAAGCTTCATTGAAGAAAAACACTGATCTTTCTCCTGCCTGAAGTTGTTCATGCATTCCTAACTGGCATGATTGGGGTTGCTCAAACTGGATTCAGATAACACCAGTAAGGCGTTAATGTGGAAAAAATTACATTTTTGTAAAGCAAATACAGGAACATACAAACCTTTCGATCATGTGAATGTTCTCTATGATGGTGATGGTGGTGGTGATGCTTCCGTTTTCTTTCGTGACGTTCTTTATCTTTTTCAGTTGATTTTTTCTTCTTTTTCTTTTTCGACTTTTTATGTTTCTCATGAGAATGACTAGAGCTCTTATCAACCATTTTTGCTTCTTCAAACACTGGTTTAACTTCTTGTGAAATGCGAGGTATCTGAGAAGTGCCAGAATTTGCAGCAGGCAAAGGAGACTGAACACTTCCACCAACCTTAAGGACTAGCTTCAGAGGCTTCTCTTGACGGTCTAAATGAAGCAAAAAAATACTTAGTTAAGCTCATAAAAAAATTATTCTAAATTTATAAATTGCTTTTATACTCCTAGCTATTTTCCACTTCCAATACTTGATGGTAGCAATAAATACTGTCAGTTACTCATAATACACTGCCCTACAAAAGTTAAGGAACAGCATGTTTTTTTCATTTAACTTGAGAATGAAGCCACATACAAACAAGAAATTTAGAGGACATGTTCACTAAACAGTTCTTTAATGAATGCAACACAGAATGTTTCTAAAGTTCAACACAAATATGAATTACAACAAAAAATTGCACTCTTAGCAGAGAAATTCAATCCTGGAGAAACAGTACATCATAGTTGTCTGAGGAAAAAGTAACATTACAAGAATGGGTTCTAATAAGGAATGTGTCCACCCTAGTTGTCTCTTCTTTAACTTTTAGAGGGCAGTGTATTCATAAAGAATATCAACATTTAAGAAACAAGGGTTTGAGCCTATTCTCATCTTCAAAAAAACAGATCTAGCTATTTCTAGATCAGGCATAATTTTATCACATTTGGAAAGCAACAATAAAATTCTTCCCAGGCTCAATTATTTTCATAAAATATAATAAATATACCTTGTATATCACAACATTTATCATATAAAAGTTATTGTTTTGATTTTGGAAATATCTTTAGTGAAGCCTTTTTCAAATTTTTTTGAGCTTACATTATCTTATGCTACCATTTATGCTACTTTACTCTTAGTGTTGTGCTTTTACAAAAAGACCTTCAATTTATCTTTCAAATTACAAATTACAAAGCAAACTGAGAATTCAAAGACAATAAATACATTTCTTGATATTTTAAATCTTAATTTTATTTTTAATAATATATTTACTTGATAAAATTGATATTTCTAATTTATAATTACGAACATTTGCAGCATTAATAATAAGAATAATAATTTGCAGCATAAGAAATGTTCTTAAACATCACATATTGCATATCTCTGTGCAGAATCATCAATTCCTTTTAATATTTTAATTCCTTTAATTCAATATACTAAACTAATGCTCATGTAGTGCTTTTGCAACATTTCATCAAAAAAAATTTACAAAAGTGTCATCATTATACTTGATAGAAAGAACTGCTACATATAATGAAAGAATTTTTGAATAGAACTAATTGTACTATTTTTTTTTTTTTTTAAATCCATCAATTTCTTTTTTCTTTTTCTTTTTAGACCTGTAATTTAAAACACATACCACATACACAATCATAAAAATTAGCCACACAACAATACAAACATTTAAAACAAAATGGCAATTTTAAATAATGTGTGTTATTCAATTATTGATAGTTTTATTCAGCTTACTATATTCTGGGCAGATGCAAATAGTTCATCTTCAGATAGGCATTCAAATACCACACAGCCAATTTAGACTCTTGAATAACCATTTGAATACTATAACCAGTTGAATGCTCATAATTTAGCATATTTGTGGTGGAGGATCGTGACTATAAAGGTAGTCACAATTATACAGCCATTCTTACACTAAAAGTACACACTATCACAAATGAATAAAATATGATTGCATCACTTTTGAAATGAAGAAATATGAATGATAGTATAATGTGCAGTGATTCAGTTTCATTTAAAGTTGTTACTGGAGAGCTAGAAGTACATTCTAAATGAAAATAGAAAGAAAAACTGGTACTCTTCTGTTATTGGGACTTGATTTGGATATGTATGTGGTAGGGGAGTTGAAGATGAATATCCTATGGTCAATAACAAGTCTAACATTTTCCACACCACAGACATTTAATGAAAATATCAGAAAAGGTACAGATTGAATTAACTACAAGTGCTGTTGCGCCTTCTCACGCTTGTTAGATATAAACACCGTTCTTGACCCCTTCGCGCCGACTGTCACGTCTACGTGCCAACAACAAACACACTTACTTCCCGGCCGACATGCAGGTGTGCCAGAGCATTTTCCCGTTCTCTACCGACTGTCATGTATTTGTGCCAGTGTCCTGGAACGTTTTCCAAACTATAATTTCTGCCACAAGATGGCACTGTATGTCCACATGGTTTCAGATACATGTACATTAGACCTTCTACTCGAAATGAGAGAAGCATGACTCACATACACGTGTTTTTGATTATATAAACAAAAGGGGAAATAAATGTTACCGAATGGCGTGATTTATGAGTCTCTTTAAATTGCATTTTATTCGCACGTGGTAGTTGTTTATTTAAGTAGAGAAGTTTTATTTGCGCTAAAGCGTTGGGTATTTCGGTATGTAGTTCAGTTTTTAGAAAATAATTAGATCTTGTTAGACGTGAATTCTTTCTGTTTTTACCGTTGCAATGTCGAAGCCGTCGAAAATGTTTAACAGAGCATGAAATAGCAGAAATGATGCAAAATATTTCGATATTGATTCTGAAAGATTAACTGAAAGACTGAAAGACATTTTCCAAAACTTTGTTCAGAAGAGACTGATAAGAAAATGAGACGACGATGCTTCGTTTGTTCACATTCCCGGAAAAATCCTCCAAAACGGCAAATGAGTTATTACGATTGCAAGGAATGTAACGTAGGACTGGTGTAGATCCCTGTTTCAAATTTTTCATACGAAAGAGAATTTTAAGAATATATTTAGTTTTCAGATGTATAATGTTAAAAGTCATAAAATGGTGAGTAATGAAAATAAAATGTGTAAAATATGCTTTTAAACAAGAAATCAGGTAATTAAAGTATATACAGTCAAAAGTCTTTAATCCGGACTCATTCGGGACTTCGAAGATTCCGGATTATTGATTTTTTCCTGGATTATAGATCATCAGTTTAAATCTGGTAAGATGTCAAGCAGAAAATTATAAAATTAAAAAATATGAAACCGTAATTATAAAATAATGAGCAATTATGATTTAAAGGGTATCAAAATTTACAAAAAAAGAAGCTTAATATTTATTTGTTTACTTTATTAAACATTTCTTTCAACGCGCGCATGCGTAAAGCATACCTTACGCATAGCCGAAATTAGAAAATTGCAACCAGAAAACTATTGATTTGATATTCGTGATATTTGTAATGACGATGAATTTGATTTAAATCATATAAAAGCCATAGTACATCTAGATGAAATACTACATTTAGTAATGAATTATAAGCTGAATAAAATAAAACCATCTGCCCTGAAGATAAACGGATAGTGCTGACAGATTCAACTTCCAGTTCATTGCGCACGCCGCGATGTTACCCCTCCCCCCGCTGCAGAGCAGCGTGAAATTGATAAACAGATTTAGGAATGGTTAAGAGAAACAAAGGATATGCCTTTATCCATTTTTTGCAGCAATTCGTTTTTTGTTTGATGGACATCGAAACATACTTTAGTTTTCAGATCCTTTGGGAGCTCCAGCATCGGAAATTCTATTTGACATAATCGAAAGTTCAATCTTACTTTATAAAATTGCTCTTACAGTCTGCAAAAAATAATAAGCCGGATCCAATTCGAAAGATTAAGGCCCAACGCAATCATCAACATTAACTGAAATAGATAATTAGATAATTTTAGCTTATACCGTCCGTTATACATTAAACGCGCACGCGAAAACGTATTCTGCGCTTGCGCAGACGCATATGCGCAGTCGTAAATGTCTTGCGCCCACGCGTAAAACGCCTATGCGCATGCGTGAACGCGGCACATGCGCAGAAAGATTTTAGCTTTGAGGTCCGGATTATGGGTGTCCGAATTAACGACTTTTGACTGTAGTATAAAAATATCTATAAAGCATAAGCCATTTAAATACTCTATAGAGCATTATTAAACAATGTGTTGATACTTCGGAAATTTCATGGATTTAGGCTTAGTAGCAAAAAAGCCCCCGGCCCTGGACAGACGCTCGCGTAAGACACTGCCGGCCTCCGCGGTAAGCACGCGTTTGCGCTACCCGGCTCGAAGGGGTTAACCACTTTTAGAATTTAAATAGCAGCTTAGCGCCTACTCGCACTAGCTGTCGTATATGCAGTCAAGTTACCATCTTCACGCGGACATATCTTAACAGAAAAGGTACAGATTGAATTCAATAAGTGCTGCTGCGCCTTCTCGCACTTGTTAGATATAAACACCGTTCTTTATCACTTTTAGAATTTAAATAGCAGCTTAGCGCCTACACACACTAGCTGTCGTATATGCAGTCAAGTTACTACTTTCACGTGGAATCATCTTACCACCTCCGCGTGGGATAGATGGCTGTCTGTCTATATGTCATACTCCTCTTTCACCTCGCTCTCACTTCTGGTGCATAGGTGAGGCCCTCTGGTGGCTGTGTTAACTTACAAATACTACAGCTTGGCGATCCTGACTTTTGACCTCGAAAACATGGATCAGCGACACTGGTTCATCAAGACAGCACCTAAAAATAAGTTTAAAAAAAAAAAAAAAAAGATAGAAGTGAGGAAGAACCACACATAGTCCTAAACAGGAACAGTCCAAGGCTTCATGTGATCAGCTTCTGTTAGTGGTACATCCAGGACCTTCATGGTGTCCCACTTTTTCCACCTGGTACCGAACTTTGCCTTTCCTCGCTGTTACATGGTATGGACCAAAGAACTTTGGTCTTAACTTTAGACTACCTCCATACTGTGTTCTTTGTATGGCAACTAGGTCGTTCACATTGTATACTTGTGCCTCTTTTCTCTTTTTGTATGTTTTCTATTCTCTTTCTGAATTTTTAGAATGTTTTTCCTTGCTTCCTCTCTCATATCTTCTCAATCTTTCATCATAATATTTCTTTCTTCTTCTTCGAGAATTTTCATAATACCTCTCGATTTCTCATTTTAACCCACTGAGGAGCTCAAATGGATAAATCTTTGTGCTTCTGGTCTCAGTACTGTTCAAGATCCATTATACATCTCCAACATATTTGTACCACTTGGTTGGATCATCTATGAATAATTTGGATAGGACTGGAATCAGAGTGAGATGAATTCTTTCCACTTGTCCATTTCCTCTAG